GCAGAAGCCCCTAGCCAGTGAAGCTCAGGTAGAAACGATTCGCTGGCTCGGGATCACCAGAGCAATGGGCTCAGAGCCCAAGGACTGCACACGCTGGCACCAGCGGGCAGACTCCAGCTGCCTTCACTTTCAATGCAGAGGTGTGGCCTGAGGGCAGACAACAGGCCACAGCATGCAATGCGGGCTGGCTGCTTTGCTCAAGACAGAGCACTGCATGCTGGGACTTGTAGTCTCAGCTCCATACTCAAGATGAAGGCGGCTGCAGGCTGCAGTGTAAAACTCTCGAGTCTGCGTGTAGAGTGGGGTGCTGTAGTCTCCATGGGCCCCATCTGGCACCCAGGCCAAATGCTGGCTGGCTGCGCTCTACGGGGCATGACTTCCCACGGGAAAGGTATGGAGGAAGGAGCCCTGCAGGGCCGTCCTGGCATGGTAGTCAGTGTGCTGGGAATCTAGCACATTTCTATGAAGTCCATCTGGAACATACCCACCTCCTCATACTACTGAGAACAAACCAGGACGCACTCTGCAAGCTACTGCCAGGGGAGAGGGGCTGAACAGCCCGGCTAGTGAAGGGCGCCAGCTGGGCCAGCAGCCGAGGGCCCAGAGCACATCACAGACTGTGAGGGCCAAAGACATGGGGGCACGTCCTGCTCCATCACCCCATGGGCTGCCTGCGCAGTGCCCCTGGCCCCCACTAGCCCCAGTGAGTCACATGGCTCTGTGCTACATTACATGCCCACCAGTTCTGATGTCTGCGACTTCAAGGTGGCAAAGGGGGTAAGAGGTGGGTTGTGTGGGCCCCCTGCAGTGAGGCGCACTGGACACTACGTATGTCCCAGGCCAACCTACCATGAGGTGACCCCTGAGGACCAGGGGGGTGATCTCGGTCTCGGGTGGGGAATAGCCGTAGTCGTCGCAGGGCAGGTCCCCTCTCTTCCTCCGGCTGTGCGAGAGCCCGTTCTGCCCGTAGTTTTTGGGGCAGAACACTCTGTACAGGCAGAAGAGCAGAAGAACCAGGAGGATGCCAGAGGCCAGGCCCAGAGCAGCTACCCTGATGGGAGAGAAGGATGTTAGCTGTGCCACGCCACCACCTCTGGCACACAATGCTCCCAACACAGCGCTTCCGAGGAAGCAGCTGCTCTGATCTGGACTGTTGCTTACACAGGGGGCTGGTTTAGGGCTCCCAATTTAGCTTCTTAACAAAGAGGAGAACTTCAGAGAGTCCAACCGCCTGCAGGTAGTCAGCTGGGACAGCTGAGAGCAAAAAGCACCTGCAGGTTTTAGGAGCAGCTGCACATGCAGCCTGGGAGGCATTTAAAACACCGGTTTACAATGTTAAAAAGGCGGAGGGAATGGGGGGGTTAAAAAAAACCTTTCTCCATTGATCAAATTGTTTTAAATCCAATCAAGTGACATCACCGAGCCTGAAAGCGTCATGCAAATGGCTGGTATCAGTTTGTGGACTGAAATTTCCCCAAGACAAAACACCAGGTTTCCTGGGGAAAAAGTCAGTGTTGGCAGCATTTTCCAGTGGGAAAATTCAGAGTGAAAAGTTTCAATCAAACACATTAAAAAATACGTCCTTTCAACATTTCTGAATGGAAATTTTCCAGAAACATTCCACAAAAATGTTTGCTATTCTGACCTTTTCTCTCATTTTGGAATGAAAACGAATGTCGACGTGTAAGAATTTCCTGCAGGATGGAAATTCCGATTTCCAAACAGACACGTTCTGGCCCGGCCGCCCGAGAGGCTGCACCGTATTGGTCCTTGTTGCTCCATCATTCTGACAGCTACTAGTTACCTTATGGGAGAGCCCTAAGGACCCCAGACTAGGATTGGGGCCCTGTCGGTCAAGGCTCTGAACAGAAAAACAACACAAAGCTTGTCCCTGCCCTAGAGATTTGATTCCTCCAGGCAGACCTCTTTGCCTGCAGCAGGATTTGAGCAGTGTGCTCAGAACCAGGCAGAGTTGATGGTAGTGGATGTGAATGCTAAAAAGGATTTGGATCCAGATTTTCAGTAGTGACTAGTGACTTTGGGTTCCTCCAGTTCGGAGTGCCCAGCCAGAGACGCCTTAAAGAGGCCTGATTTTCAGACAGCAGGTGTTCAGCACTTTCTGGAAATGACACCCCTGTAAGGGCATCTCATGTTGGACACCCAAAAATTGAGGTCCCCAAAATCACTAGTCAATTTAGAAAATCCAGACCTAGTTCTCTGCCAGTTTTTCACAAGGAGAGAGCTAAAATCATGCAGGAATGCAAGGTGGGGAATAAAAGGCAAGATGGGAATCAGCATGGTGTGATTTCCAGGTATTTCACGCATGCCCTGCTGATTAAGAACGCTGACACTAGTGGAAAGCGGGCTCTCCACCTTCTCAACGGTACAGTGGTTTCCTTTCTAGCCTTGAGAGTGTTGTCTGATAACTCATGAAGGGTCACCCACCCCAAAGATGCTTAACTTCTTCCCCCCCGCTATTGACCTCACCTTCTGACACCTCTCTCTTTTTGTTGCTGCGCTGCACATCATGACCGGCTGGATACTGCGGTCTGGTAAAACAGCAGCAAGGCTGCCCCGCTAGCCATAGCTCTGAACGAGCAAAGCTGGCTCTTCAAAGTGCCTGGCTAACTGTGCGTGATTATCCCACGCACATGCAATGAACACTTACGCACGCATGGAGTTTTACCATCAGCCCCTTTGTGTCCAGTACATTGTGACAAGTAGCCCCACTTTTCCTGGGGCTCAGCGCACTGGCTAACAGCTTAGGCTGCTCACTGACTCGCCCGCTAGGAAGCACTCAGCCTCTAAAGACCATAATAAGGGGAATGATTAATGTAACACTGCCCTAGCAGAACGGAAGCACCCGGGACTTGGCAGGGCTCCTTTCAACCCTGACCGTATTCTCTCCCCAAGGAGACTCTGAGCCGCTAGGCAACCAAGCTGCCCATTCCGGGTGACAGAGGCAGGGCCAAAGGGGTGGATCACGGGGGACAGTCGGCTCTCTTACTTGTAGAGCGTGACGTCCCGGTGCCCCTGCAGTTTGGGCAAGGCCTCACCAGGCCGATCCACCGCCTCCAATTTCCCGAGGCTCGAAGGGAAGAAAGAGTGGTAGCGATTAGCCTCCTGAGGGTGGCGCACTTCTAAGGCTTCTCGTGGATTCAGGTACAAGGTGACAGGGATGGCTGGGAGAATGCTGATGTACCTGGGGAGAGGAAGGAAAGACGAGGGATCGGCTTAGGAACGGCAGGATGCAGAGATGGCAAAATCTCATAAGATCATCTAGCTCATCCCTCCCTTGGGGCCATGCCAGGGCAGGGCCACTCCGGGTATTCTCTAGGGCTTCGTCCAGGCCAGGTTTAGCTATCCCAACCCCTGGGGCTTCGCTACATGCCTGGAAGAGCATTCCGAAGTCTACTGGGGCTCAGCTTTCTCCCTGAGCTCCCCAAACAGCCAGCACTGGAGCATCTCACCGGGGGGCCGCCTGGATTTCAGGGATTTGAAGGCCAGAAGGGACCAATGTGATGATCTAGTGACTGTCTGTATGGCTCAGGTCAGAGAACCTCGCCCCGGGAGCCCTGCATTGAGCTGGCTGCACTGCAGCATGTCTGTCACTCACCCTTAGTTTTATATTGGCCTTTAATTCCAGATGGCCACAAGCGCTCGCCCAACGTGTGCATATGGCCCCACTGCAGTGCAGCCACCTCTGGGATGGAGGGAAGTCACCAGGCACACAACACGCCAAACACCAGTGGGACGGGAAGGGCATGTTTTGGCCCAAGACAAAGCCCCATGCCACGTGCTCAGTGATGTACAGTGTCCATGCAAGGCAGACTTGGCCTGTTTGAAAGGGCTGCCCAGAAGACCCACCCGCAGTGAGCTGCATGGAATTCAGTTTATCTGCTCCAAGGGTGAAGGGCTGAGCCAAACCTGATGGGATTCAATTCTGTGCGGACTCCAAGGGCTCTGGGCACCTGGTCTGTGACCCACTTGCCTTTTGGCCAGGGTGATGTTGTAGTAGCTGAAGAGGGATGGCCAGTGTCGGAAGGAGAGCTTCCTCCAGATCTCCTCATCCTCCACGCCCCACGTGACCTCTGCCTTGGTGCCAGGCTCCGGCTGCCCACTGCCGTGGCTCTCCGGTCCCTGGGCCCACGGCTGCTGATTTGCCTCCAGCCCATTCCGGGACTCTAGCCCTTCCTTCTGCTCGCGCTGCTGCTGCTGCGTCTGGTTCTCTGACAGCTGCACGGGCTCCGAGGGGAAGACCGAGAGGGCAAGCTTGACATCCCCAGCCGGAAGGACACCTCCAGGAACTGGCATGGGAGGCAGTCCCGCTTCTCCCAGCGGGCTCTGCTCTGTGACCTGCGACGTGAGGTAGGTGCGGAGGCCAGCGGGATCTGTGTACACCAGGATTCCAATCCAAATCACTGTTCCAGCCTGCACCGTACAAGTGAAGAGACAAGGCTGTTTAGTACACGGCACCCTCACCTCAGCACCATAACTGCACAGACACCAGAGCATCGGTGTAGCCAAACCTCAGCCACAGCCCCCAGAAGGTGCACCCCGCCCCGAAATACAGCCCTGCTTCCTGGGACTGGGGCCGGTTTTGTTCAGTATCTTCATTAATGGTCTGGAGGATGGCGTGGACTGCACCCTCAGCAAGTTTGCAGATGACACTAAACTGGGAGGAGTGGTAGATACACTGGAGGGTAGGGATAGGATACAGAGGGACCTAGACAAATTAGAGGATTGGGCCAAAAGAAATCTGATGAGGTTCAACAAGGACAAGTGCAGAGTCCTGCACTTAGGATGGAAGAATCCCATGCACTGTTACAGACTAGGGACCGAGGGGCTAGGCAGCAGTTCTGCAGAAAAGGACCTAGGGGTTACAGTGGACGAGAAGCTGGATATGAGTCAACAATGTGCCCTTGTTGCCAAGAAGGCCAACGGCATTTGGGGCTGTATAAGTAGGGGCATTGCCAGCAGATCGAGGGATGTGATCGTTCACCTTTATTCGACATTGGTGAGGCCTCATCTGGAGTACTGTGTCCAGTTTTGGGCCCCACACTACAAGAAGGATGTGGATATATTGGAAAGAGTCCAGCGGAGGGCAACAAAAATGATTAGGGGTCTGGAGCACATGACTTATGAGGAGAGGCTGAGGGAACTGGGATTATTTAGTCTGCAGAAGAGAAGAATGAGGGGGGATTTGATAGCTGCTTTCAACTACCTGAAAGGGGGTTCCAAAGAGGATGGATCTAGACTGTTCTCAGTGGTACCAGATGATAGAACAAGGAGTAATGGTCTCAAGTTGCAGTGGGGGAGGTTTAAGTTGGGTATTAGGAAAAACTTTTTCACTAGGAGGGTGGTGACGCACTGGAATGGGTTACCTAGGGAGGTGGTGGAATCTCCTTCCTTAGAGGTTTTTAAGCCGTGGCTGGGATGATTTAGTTGGGGATTGGTCCTGCTTTGAGCAGGGGGTTGGACTAGATGACCTCCTGAGGTCCCTTCCAACCCTGATGTTCTATGATTCATGACTGACGCCCACAGACCTGGGCAGAGACTCACCCTTCAAAGAGGAACTGCAAATATCTGCAAACCACCCACAAAAACCCGACACTTGGGCTCCACCTGACACCCCCGCTCCTCACGTGCACAAGTGCATCCTGGGAAACTGGCTCTGTGTTGACAGGGCCTCCACGACGTGCTGCAGAAAACGCTTTAACTGCTTATGTAGTAAAATGCTGCTGTGCCTGCTTCCCCGCTGCCCCCAGGACCTGAACTCTCCTTGGCCGGTCTGCAAGGGTCTCCACCCTCCCCTCGCCCAACCACGCCTGAAGAGCCACCTCTGCAGAGCGCCCTTCATGTTGCAGGGTAAGTGGGAATTGTCAATCACTATCCATGTGCGATATAGACAAAAAGAGACCACACGGCAGCACTGTCTGCTGGTCTGCAGAGCCCTGGAGCAGACACGTGCAGGTAGAACATTTTCCTGGAGAATCAATTCTCTGACAGCAGCCGCACCTCTCAGGGGAGTGCCAGGACTGCTGAGAAACGAGGAGGCATAAGCATCTTTTGGGTGTCTGCTCCGTGGATGTACAGCCAGGGCAGGGGCGCGTACGGCCAGAGGGGCGGTGAATCAGACAACAAACAGCACAGGGTGTACCATGATGAGCCGCTGGGCCAGCCGGGTCCTGGCAAAAAAGTAGATGACCCGCAGCCTCTTGGGCAGGCGCAGATTCCTGAAGGATGACGGCTGCAGGGTGATGGTGTGCGGGGTGGCTGGCCGCATGGCTGGCTGGCGCTCGTACCTCTGGGAGCGGCTCACTGGCTTTGCCGGGGGCATGCAGGCTTCTGACGGCAGACGTTTGTTCAGGTCAGCGAGCTGCCAACAGGAGAGCACGTGGGTTAGAGCAGCAGAGACTAGGTCCTTCCTCGAGAGAAACTAACACACAATTAGCCGCACACACATCCGAGCCCAGGCACCGGCTGTTCTCACACACAGCAGTGCGGTCCTACATCTGAGCGCACAGTCTCACAGATACACTCATGACCACGCCTGTCCTCGGTCTCTGGAGCTGCTCACTTTCACGCCCAACCGCCCTTGCTCCTGTTCCCCTGCCCTCTCCACTCACCCCCACATCCGGATGCCTGGCACGCACTCCTGTCCATCCAAACCAGCCTGCTCACGCTCAGTCACGCAATGAAAAGCACCGGTGTAAGCTGTCCTGGTGTCACTGCATGGCACAGCCGCTGAAAGGTCAAGCGTGAAAACCTGCCTCCCCTGCCCGTCCCTTACCTCCATCCGGCGAATGTCAATGGACAGCACGGTGGTGAAGAAAAACATCTGTAGGAAGAAGTCGGACACCAGGCCAACCACAGCAAAGAGGCAAAACTCCTGCAGGACACAACACGTCCACGGGTCAGCAAAGGGCTCTCTGAGCTCACGGCAAGTCTTCTAACCCCAGAGTAAGCAGCACAGCAAAGGCCTGTCTATGGCACGGCCATGAGTGTAGTCTACTGGCAATCCCTGTTATCAGTACTCTGGTTACCTTTGTGTGTGTGATGTTCGTTCTGGCGGAAGGTGCCTAGCTGATAACTCTGGAGACTGTTTAGTCATAGGACAGGACTAACATTCTTTGCACTGCTCATCCAAAAGTCTCAAAATACTTTGGGGAAACTGAGGCAGAATTAGTTGAGTCCACAGAGCAAGGCAGTGGCAGAGCTGGGACCTAAACTTGTGACCCCCGATTCCCAATCAGGTGAGCTAGCCACTAGATCACACTGCCCCCAATCAGCAGCTGTGCCAGCTTTCTTGGCACCGCTCCATCAATTAGCCTCATGCCTGACCTGAAGGGACCTCCTAGAGCAGTGATACTGAGACCTCAGTGCTTCAGGAGCCAAATTAGCAATCAACATTACCCAAAAGAGCCACCAGAGTGTGACGCCATTGTTTCATTTACTCTAGCGCTCTGTATTCAGTCACACCGCGTTTTAACCTCACGTGCTGCAAAGAGCTGCAGGAGACACATTAAAGAGCCGCTTTGCAGCTCCCGAGCCTCAGGCTGCGGATCGCTGACCTACAGGGATGCAGGGAGTTCAGGCTCTGAGGCTAGTCAATTACTGCTACAACTAGGCCAGTTTATGCCAGCTGTGCTGGCGGTTTTGTGACCTGGCCTTAGACCCCCAACATTCATTTCACACTGTCCACCAAACAGACAATTTGCAGTCCCCAGACCCTTTACATGGAGGTGGATGGATTCCATGAACTAACAGGTCTTTTCAATTTCTAACCACTAGGAACCTGGGATAGTGATGAGGCTGGTTTCTCAGCCCCCTTGCAATGCTCAGCTCTCACCAGCAAGTGTCCCTGCAGGAACAAAGATAACACAAAAATTCCAACCTCTCTAGGAAATTAACTGAGCCCTAAACCACAACAAAAAGAAATGTAACTACAGTCACCCCAGACCCAGCACCAAGTGTCCCGCAAAGGGCTCCAAGCCAAACTTTCTCCCCAGGGGAAGGCATTTCAGAGGGTGACTCTTCTACCATCTGAGGACCAGATTTCCTGTCAGCGTTTTCTGCCACTGACAAGGGCCAGGGGACAAGGCGAGAGCATGAGTGATAGATAAAAGCCCCTGGAGTTACAGCAGATTCAGGACTCTGGAAATCCCTTGTAGGGGCTGCTGGCTGGATCCCCTGGGAACTGCAATCTCACCCCTTGTGAAGCCAGCCAGGCTGCAGCCACTCAAATGCGGGTCACCATAGAATCATAGACTATCAGGGTTGGAAGGGACCTCAGGGGGTCATCTAGTCCAACCCCCTGCTCAAAGCAGGACCAATCCCCAGACAGATTTTTGCCCCAGATCCCTAAACAGCCCCCTCAAGGATTGAACTCATAACCCTGGGTTTAGCAGGCCAATGCTCAAACCACTGAGCTATCCCTCCCCCACCAAGAGCCACTTGTTTTGGGTCCTTGGCCTGCTTGGCCCGCCTCCCTGCCTCCCATGCAGTGCTGGTCCCAATCCAGGCACACTGGGACGGAAAGCGCCTGGCGGTAACAGGGAGAGACCGGCTCCTCCAGGCCTTCCAATCTGAGAGGCTTCCCCAGCCTGCCAGGGCTGTTCTCAAACCCAAGCAACATAAACAATGGCTTGGAGCCGCAGGTGGAATTGGCAATTTACAGGCCTAGCAGGCCAGGTGGGGGGATAATTCATCACTGGATCAGCTGTCCCCTCTGACAAGGCCACAAGGAAAGGCAGCTCCTGGCTAGTATTCCCTCCTGCGCCTTCCCCAGCAGCTGGGCTGATTTTGGGAGGGGCGAGACATAGGAGAACAAGGCCAAAACCGCCCTCTAGACATAGGTCCAGAGGGGAACAAAAACCCACTGGACTTCATCTCTGCTCCCCGCAACCAGGGACTCCACAAAGACTGAGCCAGCTCTGCTCTGTACAGAATTCCACATGGTGCTTGGGAGCCAAGACACACCTGATCCCAGGAATGACAGTAGTGAAAGGCTACGAACCAGGCAGACCCTGATCCTGTTCCGTCTGCAGCAAAGCTCTCATGGATTCCAGTGAGAGCAGGACTGGGCCCTCAGTCTGTGACTGTCAGATGTTTCACATGAGCAAGGTAGGCAGGGCAATGGCATGAGCAGGAGGACATGGGGCTACTCCCCAAAGCACCAAGGTGCATGCAATGTCTCAGGGCCTGGGGTTTCTCAGCTAGGCTTTCATTGGGCCACCAGCCCCGGAGAATGGGGCGTCCTGCACATCGGCAATTCCTGGGAAGAGTGTACCTTGTACCAGAGTGCTGCTGGCAAAATGGCTCCCATCAAACCAAACGCTGCTTTAGGCATGGGGAGAGCAGCAGCTGGGGGGGCAAATTCTCCTCCCCCAACTCAGATGGGCTGCCTGGGCGTGACTGAGAGGAGGCGGCCGCCTGTCCAAATGCTTGGAGCTGATCCCAGGCCTTGGGCAGAGGGAATTCTTCTTCCCTCTGCTGCTTCTCTCTGTACCATGTGGTGCCTAGATGACTTCAGCACTGCACTGCTCCCTTTGGCAACCACAAGCGAAGGTCCCTGCCAGATTTATGCAGCCCAGCTCCCTATCGCCAGAGGTCCTTGGACTCTGTGACGCGAGGGCAGCATGTTATCTCCGCTGTGTCCTTCGCTCCCAGAGACAAAGATAAGGGAGACACACACACCAGACTCCCGCAGAGCAGCAGCCACTCTTAAACAGACAGCATCGCTGTGGGGCTCTGCCTAGGGGAGCCAGAGCATACAAGTCTGCACCCAAGAAAGACGAATCCATGTACAAAGCACAGAATGGGTGTGACCACATACCTCGCGCCCCAACCTGGCACAAGCAAAAGCCATGCTTGCAACCTGCTGGCCAAGGACACACATGGGCGTGGGGCATAGTGGTACCTTCTTCCACAACCCCACTGACATGCCCTATCTCCCATTCTTCTCTTCTCTCCTTCTGTAAGAGGAGAGAAGAACGGGATGAGTGGGAGTCTAAGTGAGTCACTGGATGCTGCTAGATGGGCATGATGGGAAGAGATGACTTGGAATCTAGACATCATTCGCTCAAACCAGAAATGTTGGAATTCGATTCACTGTCTCGCTGCAGCTCAGCAACCCCCAGCCCTAAGCAGACCACCTGTCACGTCAAACCAAGCAGACAGCCGTCTGCTGAATGTGTCAAAGGCCCCAAATGAGAAGCAGGTCAGACAACAAGTCCATGACTAATGGCATCAGTTCTATCGGAGGAAGGCCACTCAGCAAGAGCCGTTCACAGCCACGGCATTAGACAAAATTCTGAGCGATACTAGGATTGGCATTGCTGCTGGCTATGACAACATATCGCCAGTTTCTGAAGCACCTCAGGACTTGTGATCATCAGTGGCTAGCGCAGTTCTTCATGCGAGTAGTCAAAAAAAGAGTGAGTTCAGAAGACTTGGCGAATGTCAAATGTCATTGCTCTACTGAAACCGGGGAAAGAGCCACATAATGTTGCAAGCTACCCACTGATATCCCTGTTGGTCTGTGCCTTTCAAGGTGCTGGGGCGTCTCGTTCTCCTGTGCATCTCCCCAGAAGTGGAGTCAATACTCAGCATCGAGCAAGCAGGCCTTTCAGAGAGGTCGAAGCACCTGTCATCAAGTGCTAGCTTTGAAAACATTAATCAAAGACAGTTTTCAGAAGAACCTGAAGACAGGAGCCATATTTTTGGATGTGATAGCAGCATATATTATATCATTTGGCACACGGGGCTCTTAGTGAATTTGTTGAGAGCTCTCCCAGCATGGATAATCAATGCCGTTGACCTCTTCCTCCACAACAAACATTTCCGAGTACACATGGGAGACGGCGTTAGCACGTGAAAAAGACAAACCAATGGTCTACCCCGAGGCTCTGTGCTGGCATTGACACTTTTCAATCTGCACACAAATGACCTCCTTCTTGCCCAGTTCCGATAGTTCTCGTACGCAGATGACATTTGCCCAGGCGTCCAAGCATGGTCATTCCCAGTACTCGAAAGCACCCAAAACGCTGACTAAGATGGCTGAATACTGTAATCAGTGGCATTTACAACCATTTGTGACCAGGACAGTTAAAAGTGTGTTCAATCTTCACAACACCAGAGCACTCAAGAACTGAATATCTTTCTCAATGGGCATCACTTGAACTATGAATGTCACCCACTCTACCTGGAGTAAACCTGGATAGATCTCTCATGTTTCAACCACCTGAGGAAAACTGCAGCTACAGTGAGGGTACATAACAATCTTCTAAGCAAACTGGCTGGGACTTCGTGGAGAGCAAATGCTCAAACTCTGCGCTCATCCGGTCTAGCCCTCTGTTACTCTGCAGCAGAATACTATGCTCCAGTCTGGCTCCATCCGTCTCATGTCAAGTTAGTAGACACACAACAACACTCAATCATGTGCATCGTTACGCGGACGATTCGATTCACACCAGCACTGTGCTCCCCGTGTTAAGCCACATCACTCCTCCACATGTCCGTTGGGAGGAAGCTACAGCCAGACTGGTTGAGAAGATACAGGCAAACCTGAGCCTACCACGACACACAGACCTCTTCAACCACCCAAGAATGTGCTTGTTGTTCAGGTGCCTGTTGTGCACCCATATTTCTCTGCAACGTCAATATGGAGTGAAGAATCGTCTGTAGCTGATGTCAGAAACCAGTCTCATAACTGACCCCACCATGCGTGCACCCAGCTTTGCTTTGCCACAGCACTCATGAGCCCTTCCGATTTCAAATGGGCCAGGGTCAATGAGCAACCAGCCTTCACAGCTGGGGCCAATGAGAGGATCCCACGTGCGGCTAGGGCCAAAGACAGCCAGCGCCACGCATCCCTGACGACGGCCTTCTGCCCAGACTGGATGGTGGTCAGAGGGCTCTGCATTTCACTGATGAGGCTGCTGCAAATTGGTTTGGCAAGCTCCACATCCAGTAATAACTAGAACACCAGAGAAACAAAGGCAGGATGAATGGAACTCCATTCGTCCCGCTGGGTTCTGTTTCCATCACTTAATCATAGTTACGTGAAGTTTTCATACCCTGATCATGAGGGACCAGGTTCTGAGTACGGACATGTTGCCAGGCCTCACTGCTTATGCTGTGCTGCGATCTGGTCAGCTCTCTTTGAGATACGCTGGGTAAGACTCGCTCTGGGCTTGCATGACAGGGCTGGTGCATGGCCAGGACCCTGCAAGACCCCCTCCCTCTTGAAAAAGGTGATACGGGGATTTAAATGACCATGAATGCTCTACACCAGTGGTTCTCAAACTTAGTTCATCAGGCCCTCCTTTTTTGTGTCTGCAGCCATTTATGGCCCCTCCACCCCCACACAAGTAGATATACAACTACCCAGCTCTGAAGGCAGAGCGGAGAGCAGCGGCTGGTGGCTGGGCACCCAGCTCTGAAGGCAGAGCGGAGAGCAGCGGCTGGTGGCCGGGCACCCAGCTCTGACGGCAGAGCGGAGAGCAGCGGCTGGTGGCCGGGCACCCAGCTCTGACGGCGGAGCAGAGAGCAG